TGACACAGCTCCCGGAAGCCAGCCGCTCGCATATGTTTCTCACCCGCTCTCCACCGATGAGCCTGGCGCCTCCCTGAGTCCTGTTCTTTGCAGAATCTCTGAGTTGGGGCGCTCACACAGTGGCACGGGCCTCGGCCAAGGAAACTCCGGGTCAGTTTATGTTCGGCTCCTCTCCGTCCCGCCTCCCTCCGGAAGCGTGCCGTCCGGACGGATGTGACGTCACTGTGCGGCGTCTCCGAGAGACCCAGGCCTGAGTCTCGCAAGCATAGCGCCCCCTATTGTTCACTCCCGAGAAAGCCGTGTGTACCTTGGCGTAGTGTGCGGAACTTGGGGCTTATTTATTTGGCATGGCAGAGTACTTCGCGGACGTTCATTTATTCACGCGTTCATTCATTCAACACATTTATATCTAGCATCTCCTCTTCTGAACACCTGCTATGTCCCACATTCCCCAAGGACGGGGCCGCTCCCGGTGTCCCTTGTGGCTCCCTGCGTATGGGTGTTCTCTCTAGGTTGATGTGAAAAGACCCAGCTGGTCCTATTCCCAAATGTAAGCCACGTTTCCCTAAAGCATTTATTCATTAAATACTCACGGAGCTCCCATTAGGTACTGGGCGCTATTCTAGGCGCTGGAACTCAGTGGAGAGTAAGGAGATAGGTCCCTTGGGGAACACAGTAGGTTTACTGCTAATAGCAGCCAGCTTTGATAGCAAGTGCTGACCTTGTGCCTGGCGCTGTGCAGAACTTCTACATACCGGGCTGGCCCCAGGGCCTACTGTTATGGGAGCTGGATCCCACGTGGCCGACCACGATTTGATCCCAGCCTTGGCAGTTAGAGAAACATGTTGGGCAGGTGTGTGTGTATGTGTGTGTGTGTGTGTGTGTTTTCTCCAAATTCTGATGGGGTGGAGAAATGGAGGGAGGAGATTGGGGTGTGACCATGCTCTGTTAGGGGGTGCTCTCTCCCTTTCCCTGTGTTTTTCTGTAGTTCTCTGGCAAGCACATGTGTTCTCTAACAAACTGAAAACAAAAACAAATACCCCCCCACACACTTTCTCCCTCTAGAGGGTGCATGCATGCTACAGAGAGACAGAGATAGGAAATAGAGAGAGACAATTTCCCCCTCTCGTGGGGAATGGTCCTTCCACATCCCTTCTTCTCCATTTCTCCCTCTCTGTGGGATTTTCGGTCATGTGGGATCCAGCTGCCTTAACCACCAGCTTCCTTAACCACCAGGCAACAGAGCCGGCCCTCCCAAAAACGTTTCCATATGTGATTTCACGGGATGGCTCACAGTCCTGACAAAGCTATTAATATGATCACTCCCATGTGACAGAGGTGTCAGGAAGATGAGACAAAAGCACAGAGTACAAGACCCATGAGGACCAGACCTTGGCTGCATTGGCTCGCGGTCGCACCCCAGGGCCTGGCACCCACTAGGCGTCCAGCACGCATTTACTGGATGCACTCATTCAGCCTGGGTCAGGGGTGAAGCGTGGCCTTGCGCAGCCCACCCTGACAGCCTGGGTCAGCAGGGGCCTTCTCCCTCGTGTCTTCCCTCACACTCTCTCTGCTGCTTCCTGAAGCTGCAGTCCTTGCGCAGGCCGAGCTCTGCAGTCTCGTGGCTCAGCCCTCTCCTCCTCCCCCTCAGAAGAGAGGTCTACTGGTTCCTGGTGGGGAAGGAAGTGGAGGGAATCCACAAAGGCCTGGCCGTCAGTGGCCTTTCTTTCTCAGAAAAGCTTGGACTGGGCCAGCTGGTCCTGTGGTGGTGAAGGTGCTGGATCCCGTGTGGCCAGCTGTGGGGTTCGAGTCCTGGACCCAGCAGTTTGAAAATCATACTGTGTGTGTGTATACACATGCACCCAAAATCCCAGTAGGAGAAAGGAGAAGGGACTGTGGCATGGTCGGCCCCCCTGGGGGATGCTTTCTAACTTTCTTCACTCTCTCTGGCAAGAGCATGCACCCTATAGCAATAAATAAATAGATAGATAGATAAATGCACACATGCCCTATATTGTATTGAGTGGAGTCAACAACTCTTGAAAGGACCATCCAGGAGATCCTTTGTCTCTGTGTCTCAGAGCAAGGCTGTTGGGCACATGTGTATTTTATTCTGAAAAAAAGAAAACAAAAACCCCATAGGTGCCTGTCTATTTACACATAAGCATGCACACACGTGTGTGCAAATGTTCAGAAAATATAAAGGACTGAGGGGGCAGCAGTGGAGCTCTGTGGAGGGTAGAGGAGACTGACAATTCCGGAAGTATTCATTTTGTTTGGTTACTTTAAAGTGACAGTACCATTTTTGACACTTACAGTAATGAACAAATAAAAACCAGGACCTGCTACTTCCTGCCACAAGAGGGAGCTGTGGACCGCACCCACAAGCACAGCCCGCCCCCCAGGGCAGGAGAGAGGATCCTGGAATGCGGCTCCCAGCTCTTACCCTGAGATCCTGGGTCTTGTGTGCCATTCGCTGTGGACATGCGTACTCGGATCGGTTATTGGAATCGATCAGGCGGGCCTGCTGGGCTGGCCCTTGGTATACAGCTCACACCCCAGCCTTCCTAATCAGAATTTCCGAAGTCCACCCTATCTGGGCCTGACAGCTGTGGGGAGGGACAGTGGCCCCGCACTCACCCTGAGCTCTGGGTGCCTTCCCAGGAGCTGTGTCCAGCCGGTGGGGCCTCTGCCCCTAAAAATCTTCCCTTCGCCCAATCCCTGCAGGTGCTCGGCCTCCTAGGTATGACCCAAGGGTCCTAGTCATCGCCTCAAGAGTTCAGGGACCACAGACCCAGAAACGAAGGGGAGGTCCCTCCAGTAGCCAAGGGAGGGGCCGTCCCAAAGGAGAGCCAGCTGTCGGTGTCCTCTCTCCGTCCCAGATTGGGCTGATGGCAGTCACTCACGACTCCTGTCCCACCACAGGCACGGGCAGCCTCAGGCATTCCCTGGGCTCTTACCTCCCCACTCCCCCGGGCAAAATGTCCATGCCAAAGTCCAGTCTGAGGTTAAAGGGGTCGTGTTGAAAGCAACTGAAAAGATGATAGGCCAGCAGGTGGCGTGATGCTTAAGGCACAGGACTCCTACATGGCAGACCATGGTTTGAGTCCCAGACCTGGTGGCTTGCTTTCTCATTTTCCCTCTTTCTCACTCTCTCTACTGAATTAAAAAAAAAAAAAAAAAAAAAAAAGATGATGGCGGGTCAGCTGGTGGCATGGTGGATGAGGTGGCTAGACTGCATAGTTCAAGTCCCAGTTCCAGTGGCTTGAGAAACATGCCAGGCACGTGTGCATCCGTGCTCAAAATCTCAAAGAGGATAAGGGAGGAAAAGAGATTGAGGTGTGGCCATCCCCCGGGGGTGTTTTCTCATATCCTCTCTCTCTCTCCCTCTCTCTCAAGTGCATATGCCCTACCGCAAATTAAAACAAACAACAAGAACCAAAAAATGTTGACAAGAAGAGCCAGGCTTCCAAATGTCAAGGGAGAGGTGTGTCTGTGTGCGCCTCTGGTGACAAGAGGGAGAGGCAGGCATACATGAGACAAGAGACGTGATGAAACAGCACAGGAGGGAGGACAGAGACAGGGACAGAGAGTTTTAAACAATTGCTCTAGGAGCCAGCAGGTGGCGTGGTTGTTAAAGGTGCTGGACTCCCACGTGGCCAATCAGTTTGAGTCCTGGACCTCGAGGCATTTCCTCTCTCTCTCTCTCTCTCTCTCTCTCTCTCTCTCTCTCGCAGGTGAGTGCATGTGCCCTGTAGCAAATCTTAAAATAACAATAATAATAAATTAAATAGTTCTTAAACAAAAAAATTGCTCCAAATCTGGCCAGACATTATTTGGTCACACACATTCTGAAACAGACCCACAGAATTGCCACTGAAATAAAAATTTTCTCCGGTGAGTATAAGGAAGTTCCCCCAAAGCAGAAGGCAGGAGCCGTGGCTGGTAAAATTGGTATCCGTCATTTTAGGATGCTATTTTTTTCTTTCTTTTTTAAAATTTTTTTGGGCGACATTTCTCTTTATTTTAGAAATGAGAGTGACTGCACATATGAAAAATGCCACTTAGCAACTGAAGGTGGGAAAACGAGTACATTTTAAGGCAATATTAACCAGCTAAACAAAACACGATTGTCTTGAGATCCCTACTCAGAGCTTGGAAAGTACACAAAGGAACCTAAATTCGGCATTTATGTTTAATGCAAACCCTAGATGTGTTTGAGGCAGTGGGAAAAGCGGCTGGCGGGTAGGAAGTCCCTTGGGAGGGTGACTAAGCTGAGCCCAGCAGAACCTGGGTGGCTTCTGGAGGGGCAGTGAGGGGAGGGCTGTGTCCCGCGCCCACTTCCCAGATCTGACCACAGAGGTGGGAGAGCGAGCCAGGAGAGGGAGTCGGGAGGAGGAGCCAGGATGGCAGCTTTGAATGAACACCCACAATCTACCATTTACAGACTGTGTATGGGGGTAGGTACCAGGAGGTGAAGAGCCCTTCTAGGGTGGCAGGCACAGTTCCAGTTACAAAGAGCCTGAGATGGGGCAGCCAGGACAGGCAGGCAGGGGTGTGTGTGTGTGTGGGGGAGCACCACTGTCTAACCCTGGAACCACATGGGAAGGTCTGGGGTTCGAGACCCTGACTGGCCTGACTGGCTGGAAGGCTGGGGATGAAGGGATTGTGGTGTGATGAGACCCTGTCAGGGGTACCCCCACACCAAGGAAATAAACTTTTTAAAGCAGAAGAAATTTTAAAAGGCCGGAATGAGGAGGGCGAGCTGTTTCCTTAGCAGAAAGATGCCAGGTGAGCTGTGTCCTGCCAGCAGAAGGCTGGCCCCAGGGGTCCTGAACTGGTCACCTTCCTCGCAAGGTGGAGCCAGGAGGTGTGGCCATCTGTGGCCGAGGCTGAAGACATCAGC